CACACCTATAGACAATTTAGAATCACCAATTAACCTCAACATGTTTTTGGACTGTGTGGGAGGAAGCCGGAGAACCTGGAGAGAACCCACGCTGCACAGGGAGAACATCTGTAAAATCATATTTTTTTTTAAATTAATGATGTAAAGTAAAATTTTACAAATTTTGGATTTACAGTAAAACAATGAAATTTTATGGTCAAACATTTTAAAAACTTCAGGTTTTCAGAGAAGTTTAAAATATAAACTCTGTCCTAAAGGAAATAAACAACATGTTAACATTAAAAAAAAAACAAAAAAATAAAAAATTTCTATGTGAATATTATTCACAGTTTTGGCCTGTGTTTTTACAGTTAACATGTAAATGAATTGTTTTGTGCCATTATATCTAATTTATCATTTATTTATTATTATTTTCGTTTGTTTTATTGTTGTGTTCTTACCTACTTTGCAAAGTGTCTTGAAAAGCGCAATGAAAATATTATACATATTATATATTATTTGGTTGTTATCTGTAATTTAGCTAAACAGAAAAAAATCTGTAAATTAAAAAAAAACAAAAAACATAAACATTACAGCTAAAACTGCTAGAAAACATACATTTTTTCCGATTACCAAACGTCTGCTGGAAAGTCGAGTAAACCGACTGAAAATGATGAAAGTTTAAGCGATAAACCAATGTCCTGGTGAAAAGTCTGAGCAGTAAATAAAAACAAGGTTTGATGGAACTTTACCAGGAATCAGTCACTAAACTAAGATTCACTTTATTACGTCACTTTCATTGCAGAGAGTTTTTCTGACCTCGGCTGGATTCTTTCACCGTTTCTGTCCTGAAGTCTGACTCAGACGAGTGAAAACATCTGCTCAGAGTTCACGCTGCTCATGCAGAGGGAGGACTGTGCAGCTTTATTTCTGTTTTTTTAAACTAAAAACCTTAAAGCCGATGTTTTCAGGCGTGATGCAGCACTTCTCAGATGATCTGACGCCAAGTAAAGCACACAAGGTCTCATGTCTGATTATGCTGGCGAGCGCTGGTGTCGTCTTTCTTATAACTCGAACTGAAAACAAATGATTTCACACGATTGCACGCAGAGAAATGTTGCAACGAAGAGCTGAGGTGTTTATTTCATATCACGAAGCTGATGGGAAGACGTTACGTAAGACTGCACGGAGGTTATAAAACGCTGAAACCTTGATTGAAGCAGGATGTAGAGAGGACAGAAGAACTTCTCCATCAGAATCCAGTCGTCTCTTATGGATTTTAAGCTTTTTTTTATTTATTTTTAAAGGGAAATCCACTTCAAAGCTGGCATTCAAGCATGCCCTACTGTACTTATAGAGCTCTGATTTAACTCTCGTGTTCAATTAAAACCTGCAACTCGATCTAAAAGCAGCTTTTCACTCCACATCTACAGACAATATTATCAACAATCCACCGATCCGTCCTCCTTCATCACAATAAAATGTATTTGTAGACGAGCGTTTGTCGTTAAAGGATAAAGAAGATTCAAAAAGCAGGATGTGGTGTTTTGCTTCTTTGTTTCTTTTTAAATAAAAGTGAAACAACAAAGTGCCCCTGGACTCTGCAATAGTGTTTTTGTCTTCACATTGGGAATTGTTGCGGCTACAGAAAACAGGAAGACGTCCACCGACATGTCAAAGTGACGCAAATCATGACTTTTCTTTTATTGTTTTTGCAGATATTGAAAAAGTAGATTTTTTATTTCTGTGCAGCAGGTGCTTTTCATGTGGGTTTAAGACTTTTTGGCTGTTTTGTTTTGCTGTTTTTTAAAAAAAAACAAAAAACATGTAATTTAATATCTTTGTGGGGTTTTTTTTGTGTGATTTCAAAAGTTATCTGCATGATTAACAAAAACATGAAAATCTATACCAACAGATGTTTTTTTTTTTTTTTGACAAAACATCTTAAACATCTTGGAAATAATAGATTTTTTGCTGGTTTTAAAACAGTAAAAAAAAAACTATAATAAATTTTAGATCGACAGTAATCGGGTAATTTTACAGTCAAACATTATAAAAGAACACGCTACCGTTTTAAATAATACTGATTTTGATGTGGATGTTATTTAGACTTTTGGCCTGTTTTATTTTTTATTTTTTTTACAGATACCATGTGTTTTTCTTTTTCTTCTGTGGTTTCACTGGGTGTAGTTGAGGCTTTTCTTACTTTTAAGGGGGCCAGAATTCCAGTTGCATACAAAGACTGCAAACACAACGGTGGTAAATATGAAGAATCCAACTCCAGAGATTTCATCATCATCGCTGCATGTCTTGTTTATTTCACTTGGGTTCTCGCCTCACATTTGTTCCAGTCAGCCGACCAACACGATGTCGGAGGTCATCTGACTGTCACCATCTCTCTGCTTTAACAGAACATTCCCTTTATCCAGGGTTCAGCTCCAGGATTTAAGGATTTACTGTCTCTGTCTAAACTTCCTCCTGACGTTTGGCCTTTCCATTCACCGCCGAACCACCGGCTCTCGGTTTTGCGTAAATCGTTTACTGGAATTCGTTTTCATTCAGTAAGACTCAGATTCAGACGCAGCTCGGACTTGCTCAGTTCTCTCTCCTCCGTCTAAACACGAGCGGCCGCAAAGGGGAAGCTCTCTGTCGTGTCTTCATTCTGGGTTTTAAAAAAAAAAGCTGAATACAAACGCGGCGGTGTCGCAGCGTGTTTCACTTTTAATAATCCGCCCGGTTCACTAGAAAACTGACCAGACTCTGTGACCCCGGTTGAACTGCGGCGCACAAACAAACCCAGCTAAAGGTCACCATGGTTTATATCCAGTGTTCATATCATGATGATGCCACCACCATGCATCACATCATGATTCATTATTCATTATTCAGCTGATTTTAAGCTTTTCGAGGCCCTAGTTGAACATGATGGGTTCAAACTACGGCTAACATGATGGATTTAACTGAATGAAAACACTTCTAGCGACTTCCTCAAAATACGTGAGAATCTTACATTCATGATCCCCAGAGGATGCATGATGGGATAATCCACATCGGTGCCCTGAAAACTTTATTTTTTTTTCCTTGATTTACAAACTTTCTCTTGCATTAGCGTCACGATGACATGATGGGCGCGTTAGAAACACTCACCTGATGTCTGGGTAGTGCTCCACTAAAGGCTGCAGATGGTTCTTGATGTCCGTCTTGTTCTTCTGTTCGATGATGCTGCTCAGGTCGTCTCCTACAGAGTGAAGCCACTCGTGAGGCGACTCCTACAAAAAACAAAACAAAACATGACTTGAAACTGTGAAACTCTTGGAAGTGCTTTTCGACAGTGAATCATGGTCAATGTTCTAACAAGAATTTACCAAATAAAAAAAAGAGAGACTCTTTCATGTCAGACAATGCACATCATAACAAACTCACAATCCCCACTGTAAAGCACGGCGGTGGCAGCATCATCGGTACTGTTAATTGATTAAAAACATAAATGTAAAATTAGTGTCAGCATAAGTGTTCACCCCCTTCAAATCAGTATCTATTAGATGCCCCTTTGGCTGCAGTTGAAGCATCGATCCTGTGTGGATGGATCTCGATCAGCCTGAACATCTGGACGCTGCAACACCACCTCAGGTTCCAAGAGAATCATGACGAAACATAGTTTGTCCAATCCAGAGGTCTGGGCTCTGACT